GTTCAGCAAAATAACCAGGATGACAGAGTGTCCCGACAATGGGAAAGAAGGGAGAAGAAACGGGGGAAAATCTTCCCCACGACGATTCGACTCGACAAAGGAAGATCGAGATAAAAAAAAACCGACCTCCCACAACGAAACGACTAACAGAGAAAAACACTTGCGGAAAATACAAAACCTACAATTAAAGATCTAAACGGAAAAGTCGCCAGAAAATTCACACGCAATCCCCAGAAAATGAAGATGTTCTTATCCCCAGACAAATTACCCAGAAAAACGAAAAGGTCTCCTATCTTGAATATATAAATAAAAAGAAGAAAAAAAGAAGAGAAAGTCGAACAGGCAAAGAAAACTTACCGAAACTCATGATGCTTGACGAGAAGTCTTGAAGAATCGGAGAACGCCGAAAAATTAGAACGCCGGGAAACTTGAGAAAGCTGTGATTGCCGGAGACATACAGATATCTTGAAGGAGGCGAGTGCAAAAAGTGATGAGGAGAAAAAGAAGGAATTACTTATAGGAAGGGCGAAGAAACCCCAGCCCTCGGATTAAAGTCATTTTCAACGGATAAGATGAGGCACAGAATACGAAGCGGTGGAGAGAGAAAATGTTAATCTTTTGAATTTTGAAATTTGAAAAGATTCAGACTTATCTAATCAAGTCAGAATTCGCGAAAAACGAGTCGTACTACAAGTTGAGGTAATGAGGGAATGTAACCCGAGATGACAACTGATGACGAGACGTATGAAAAGACTCGAGGAAAAAATCCAGTCGACAAAATCTACTCGTAAGCTCAGAATCGCTTCGAGTAATTTTGGGGGGGGACTAGATGATATAGCCATACTGTCGTGCATCGGTTCAGTAACCGCGGCATTTCCGCGATTGGCTCATAACGGTTCATATCGTCACGGTTTGAGATTGCCGAGTCGACTTTAGAGTAAGTCGACTCCTGGTAAGATAACGGTCAGACGTATTAGGGTCTACTAACAGTTGAGTGCGACCCAGTCGACTCGACGTAATGTCTCAGGTCGACTGAGGGAGTTGTAGCTCGTGGTGCCCGATAGCTTTGATACACCTCAGCATATTGAAGAAGAATTAAGGATAAGAAGGAAGCTCAGGAAGGATCTAGATGCTGACTAGGAAGTAGGCGGAATATGAACCGACCGGGGTATTCTGGACATTTCCATTAAGTCGGCCGGGGCATTTTGGGGACTTCAGGTATATATTGTACTCCTATATAAAGGACTGAGGTAACCCCAAAACCCTAACTCCCATTCATTCCATATCCTTTTCATTACTGCTGCTCTGATAGCAGCCATCATCACCTCTCTCATACACTGACTTGAGCGTCGGAGGCTCTACGCCGGAAACCCCTCCGGCGTTGAGTTCTTGCAGGTGTTCTCGCGGCTCACAACAACGGTTCGATCGCCATCACATCAGATCTAAGCTCATCCGTACCGGTTCGTCCCAGATCCGGACGTTTTCTCATTAGACCGTCCCAGATCTGAGAAGAAACCCATCAGTAGCGTTGCTAGCGGGATTCTAGGCGGGTTTCTGACCTGTCCTCCCATTTTATTCTCCCGTTGGGAGCTTTGTATTTTTATTCGCACATTTGTGCGCTTTTGATTTATAATAGTTCCTCTGTCGTTCTGGAAAAAAAAAAAAACCAATGCATTTGTCAAACACATAAAATACAATGATTACCTCTTTCAATGATTTTGATTGTTTGAACTTCCCAACATGTTTTTCGACCCAATTCTTTGGCCGCTTTGTTCTCCTTCTCCCGTCCTTTTTTTTCAAGCCTTTCATATTTTCAATTTTATCATCTACCTTGGACGAAGGAACTTCTTCATTTGCTATTTTATTTTTTGTTGCAAATGTAAAAATTTGCTTATTGCATTCGTTCACCATTTTCTCCATGCAACTTCGTGTCACTTCATGGGCGGAAGCTTGAAGTGTCATCCGTAAGAGTTGAGATTGAAGCCTTTGGACCCATTCTCTAACATCTTCTACACCATGAGAATTTTCTTTCTTCGTGGTTTGGACACTTTTCACGCCTTTAGTCTTGAAGCCTTTGGACCCATTCTCTAACATCTTCTATACCATGAGAATTTTCTTTATTCGTGGTTTGGACACTTTTCACGCCTTTAGTCCACCTCCCCATTATGTACTTTTATGGAATGCACATCACATCTAGGATAATAAATACTTTTAGGATATGACAACACAATATTCCCATAATTTTGAACTTTCTACAACTACAAACGACCCAATCTTTTGTCGGATCAAAGAGTACTTTCATATCATTTTCTCTTGAACCATGACGACGAACCACATATTCATGCGGAGGTACTTTCTTAAAGCAGCACGAAGTTCAATCTCAAAAAGTGTAAAAATCTCAGGAGTGTACAACTGTGACACTTGCATCAACAACAAAGAATCATATGATTCAAGTGGAGGTACTTTCTGTCTCGCATCAAAGTCGGCTTTAAGCTCCCGCTCTCTTTTTTCATCAACAACTCTATCAAACTGTCTGAAAAAAACAGAAATATTCATATCACATTTTATATAGGATTTTAAATCACTATTCAAACTCTCACTCAATTGAGTGCTTCTTATTCCTAGGGTAAAGGCATACTTCATGTAACATTTGGCTCACTTCTCTTTCAGCCCATATGTACACGATAGCCATTCATTATCATGCAAATCATAATTATCAAGTAATTTTTTTCCATTCTCTTTCAGAATCATCCTCTTCTGAGTATTCAAACATACACCTCTTAAACTCCGTTAAGAATGAAGAGTCGTCTTTCATGCACCAACCCAAATGTTTGATCCCATTTTGATTCAAGTGCCACGTGCAAAGCCTGTGTCGTGTATTTTTCAATACTTTTGCCAAAGCATTCGCCATAGCCGCATCTTGATCTGTAAAAATGGTTTGCGGCTCTTTACCTCCATGAGCATTCAAGAATGTTTCAAAAAACCAAGCAAAAGAATCAGCAGTCTCATCATACAAAAGTGCACCACCAAAAATTACCATTTGCCTGTGATGATTAAATCCCGTGAACACGCCAAAGGGCCTCAATTCTTTGTTTGTGCCATAAGTTGTGTCAAATGTAATTACGTCGCCAAAATCACCATAATCAACAATCATCCTCGAATCTGCCCAAAATATGTTGGTGACTAGCTCATCATTGTTGTTACACCACAAGTGGGTTGCGTCTTCTTGATCATCGGTACCTGCAAAGCACGCCGGGGGTGGTCCCGGCGGGAACACTCCGACGCTCAAGTCAGTGATGGTCTAGAGAGAAAACGGCAGAGTAACGGGATAACTCGCGAATGTGTGTTGTGTAAAATGAATGAACCTACTCCCTTTTATAGGAGAAATTTGGAGAGTCCCAGTGGAATAAGAAGTCTTCTTCGAATAAACCTCTTAATTAGGTTAAGGGTCTTTTGAATTCCTAGAGTCCCTACTGCTATCAACTTCCTCGTAACTTGACCACAAAGCCACCTTCAGGTTCTATTCTCTTCGTCGGCACACGAGGGCCGCTGAGCACACGAGGGCCGCCGAGTACTTCCCATGGCCGAGCACTTGAGAGGCGCCGAGCACTGTGCGACGCCGAGCACTTGAGAGGCGCCGAGCACCGTGCGACGCCGAGCACTTGAGAGGCACCGAGCACCGTGCGATGCCAAGCACTCTCAACCACCCAACTACCACAATGTCTGGTCGGTCCCCTTCAAATAACAATGATGACCGGATCACAACCGGTTCCTTACGAGCCACCACTAACGACCACATCATCTAGCCCCCCATTCCTTAGATAAGTTGAACTTGTTGTAAGGAATGTATTGGTATGGCTTGTATATTGACAAAGGAAGGAGGCAGGCTGATGCCTGCGAGCGTAGCGGAGCGAGTGTAGCGAGGGAAGCGGAGCGACCGAGCGGAGCGAGCGGACCTATGCGAGCAGGCATCAGCCCTTGTTAGGCTGGATCGCTTATATAAGATCTCATTCTACAAATAGAACCTCAATGCCCTCCTTCCAACTGGGTCGTCTCTAATATCTTTTCCTACCACCGGCTCTTGCAACCACTGTATTAAGGGTGACCTCCAATCCCTTTGCTCTTCAACCTCTAGCACCTGGTCTAAGGTACTTCTAGTCATATCCATCAATGTCACCGACCGGGATCGACAATCCACAAGTGATGCGGCCACCTTCGATAGTAGGTCAGCCCTACCATTTTCTCCCCGCGGTATTTGTATCAGCTCCCAAGTTGCGAACCCCTTCAACATCGCATGGACCTCCACCAGATACTTCTTCATGCGTTCTTCCTTAGCCTCGTACTCGCCCCTGATCTGTTCGACCACAAGCTGAGAGTCCGAGTGAATGATCACCTGTCGGGCCCCCTCCTTTAAAACGAGTTGAATCCCCTTGATGAGGGCCTCGTACTCTGCTTTATTGTTCGACACCCTAAATGAGAGTTTCACCGCGAACTCCAAATGATCCTTCTCGAGTGTGACCACTAGGATGCCGAGACCTGCTCCTCCTACGGCCGAGGAGCCACCGACATATACCATCCATGGCCCCTTCTCATCTCCCAACGTGCACTCTTGTATGAAGTCGGCTAACGTCTGAGCCTTAATAGCCTTTCGCACCTCGAAGTCGACATTGTACTCGCCTAGCTCAACCGCCCACTTCACCATCCTTCCCGAGGCCGAAGGACGACCCAAAGTACCTTTGAGTGGGTAGTTGGTCTGCACCATGACCTTATGCGCTAGAAAGTAGGGGCGCAACTTCTGCGCAGTGGAGATGAGTGCCAAGGCGGCCTTCTCCACATCTGAGTATCGGCGCTCGGCCCCTTGCAATATTCGACTTGCATAATATATTGGCTGTTGCTGCCCACACTCCTCCTTTATCAATACGAAACTGATGGCCTCATGTCCTACCGATAGGTATACGACTAAAGTGTCGCCCGACTCCGGCTTTGTAGTAGGGGGAGCTCAGCCAAGAACTCCTTCAACCTTTCGAATGCATGCTGCGCCTGAGACGTCCACTCGAACTGCGACCCCTTCTTTAATGCCTTAAAAAATGGAAAACTCTTTTCGGCAGATTGAGCGATGGACCTGCTCAATCCCGCTAGGCGCCCGGTCAAAATCTGCACCTCTCTTAAGTTCCTTGGTGGCTGCATTTCGATGACGGCTCGCACGTTCTCTGGGTTGACTTCGATGCCCCTCTCTGTCACCAGATAACCCAAGAATTTTCCCGAGCGCACCCCGAACTTACACTTGGTCGGGTTGAGTTTTATGCCATATCGTCGCAAAGTGTTCAATGTCTCACGCAAGTCCACCACATGATCGTCCGCCTTCTTGCTCTTCACTAGCATGTCATCGACATAGACCTCCATGTTCTGCCCTATTTGCCCTTTGAACATCTTATCCACCAACCGCTGATAAGTAGCTCCTGTATTTTTCAATCCAAAAGGCATGACAACGTAGCAGTAGGTACCCTTGGATGTCACAAAGCTAACCCTCTTTTGGTCCTCCACGGCCAGAGGGATCTGGTGGTACCCCTGGGAGGCGTCCATCATGCTCAACAACTCGCACCCAGCCGTAGAGTCGACGAACTGGTCAATACGTGGTAGGGGGTAGTGATCTTTTGGGCAAGCTTTGTTGAGGTCCCTGAAGTCTATACACATCCTCCACTTTTCTTCCCCTTTACGCACCATAACTGAGTTGGACAACCACTCCAGGAACTGAATAGGTTGTACATGCCCTGCCTTCAACAACTTCTCCACTTCTGCCTCAATGACCACGTCTAACTCAGCACCAAAGTGCCTCCTCTTCTATTTTACCGGTCTCACAGTTGGGTCAATGTTCAACCTATGCACCGCCACCTTGGGATCGATCCCTGTGAGGTCGTCAGCTGAAAAGGCGAAAACATCTGCAAACTCCTTCAATAGCGCAATCAACGCGCCTTGTAGGTCCACTGCCAAGTGACGTCCTACCTTTGTTATCTTCTCCGGATTACCTTCTATCAGCTCGACTTCCATCAGTTTGTCCTGGGAGCTAATTCCCAACTCTTGCTTCTTCTCCCGACGGGAGCACTCCAGTAGGTTGTCATTCTTCCTCTTATGATGCGCCTCGACCGTCTTCAATGTGACCTCATAGCACCGCCGAGACTGCAATTGGTCTCTAGTCACCTCCCCAACCTCATCCCCTACGGGGAACTTGATCTTCATGCAATAAGTAGAAACAGCTGCTTGGAATGAATTCAGGCTAGGCCGTCCCAGTATGATGTTGTAGGCCGAGCTAGCATCCACGACCAAGAAGCGAACCATCTTTACCTTTCTCAAAGGCGACCTCCTCAATGCCACAGTTAAACTAACTTCACCAACGGGACGAACCTCACTACCACTGAAGCCATAGAGGGCCGTGTGGACCGGCTCGACCTTCACGTCTAACTCCATCTGTTGCAAGCACTTAAGAAAAATGATGTCTGCCGAGCTCCCAGTGTCTATGAGTACCCTCTGCACATTGTAACTGGCTACCTCCGCTGTGATGACCAAGGCATCATTATGTGGAACGACATGCCCCTGCACATCATCAACTCCAAATTTCAAAGTGGCCAAGCTCCTCTGCACCTGTACCTCAGCCACCTCATGAGCCGCACCCTTGCTCCGGTAGGTCCTCTTTCTCTCTCTATGTGAGTCTCCATCCGTAGGACCTCCCGCAATCATGTGTATGACACCTTTCTTTACCGGTTTGTCAGGCTGCTCATCAATCCTCCTCCGCTTGTCCCCTGATTCGCGCCCTTCCCGGCGATCTTCTTGGCGTTCCCTATCCCTGATCACGAACTCCTTCAAATGACCGGCTCTAATGGGCCGCTCAATCTCATCCTTAAACTCTCGACAAAAGTTAGTAGAGTGACCATAGTCTCGGTGGTACCGACAATACCTGTCCTTTGATGCCGAAAATTTTCCTAGAGGAGGCAAAGGCTTCGGCTTCGCGAGCAGCTTATCCTCCCCCCGCTTCTCCATCAACTCCAAGATCTCCTGCTGCGGAGCATTAAGTGGTTTGTAGTGCTCATACCTTGGCCCCCTGAACCGGTCCTCAACCCGAGACTCCTTAGGGGCAGCTCGCCGATCACCCTGTCGAGGCCTCTCCTCTGGCTGCTTAGCCTTTATTTTATCATTCCGGATGAAGTCTGCCTCCGATTCCTCCATGTTCACATATTTGCTACACCTTTCAAGCAGCTCATCAAAGGACCTTGTCGGCCTCTTCGCCAATGAATCTCCACACTTTCCAGGCCTCAATCCTCAAGTAAGGCCTCCAACTTTGACTTCTTCCGAGGCAGAAGGGACTTCCACGCATTCCTTAGTGTATCGGGCTACATATTGCCGCAAGGTCTCCCCTTCCCTTTGTTGCATATTAATCAACGAGAGGTATGTCTTCTCGTGCTTCTTGGCACTTGCAAACTGATTGAGAAACAACGAGCTGAACCTCTCAAAGCAATCGATAGATCCTGCTGGCAGCTGATGGAACCAATCCTGTGCCGACCCCTTTAATGTCGTCAAGAAGGCTCGGCAACACACAACATCACTATACCTGTGCAGCACAACTATGTTGTCGAACGATCTCAAGTGCCTGGCTTGATCCGCCGATCCATCATAGGACAAGCTCAACTCTCTGAAATTGGTAGGCAAATCCCCTCCTAATACATCCTCTGCAAAGGGGTGTCCTCGCGAGACTACAGGTCTCTTACCTTGCACCCGAGCTTGGAGTTCCCACATTTGAGTTGCCAACCTCTCCAAAGTTAACTTATCCGGTTGCTCCGTCGCCATCGGGCGGGAGGTCACCGACCTAGCATCCTCCTCATCGCCCCTCTCCACGCGCCATCGGGCCTGTTGTTGAGGTATTGACTAAAGAAATGGATGAGGAATGGGCACGGAGGGCCTTCGGGACAGGTCCCCCGCCAGGATGGTCACCATTGCCGGTTACCCCCAAAAAGACGCTGCTGGGCCCAAGCGAGATCCCTATACCACCATCAGAAGCTCAGAGGCGCGCGGCGAACTCGAGAGGGTCTGGTGGTATGGCGGATAAAGCGAAGGAGGCTGGTACCACAGTTGATGGAGGGGTGAATCAAGGAGTTTTGGGAT